TGAAACTCAAAACGCGTTGTTAATCCTTTATATATAGATAAATAGATATGCAATCATCTCATGGTACATATAAAAGTTTAGTTGTTCCAACATATCTGAACTCCAACAATTTGCATACAACAGTTTCACGTACGAGGTAGAGATTGCAGCTGTGCTATCTTTTGTTGATCCTACACATACTGTGTTACAAAATATCTTCGTTCTTTCTGTTCATTGTCTTCTCCATATAATACTTTGTGTTTCTTCTTCTCTTCTCACTATTGTTTTTGTTTCGGTGAAGTTTATCTATTCTATTGAATAAGTTTGTCGTCATCTTGTTCTTGAAAATGACAATGCCCTTTCTTACTAAGTTTAACAGTATAGAGATGCTTCTCAATGCATCGATCTCTGTTAGTGCATCCAATAAAAGATGGCACTCTGCATTCATGGCCATCTATTGCTCCCGAGCTATCATGTCACTCTCCGCTCGAAACAAAACATACAAAATCAAAGAAAAAGTCTCACCTACACCAACACCACCGCCATATTTCGTCATGGTTGATTTCAGCCCTCACCGTTCCTTTGGTATTGATCAAACAGTCCTCACGGATATTGTCAAAGATAAAGACCTTCAGAGCCTTGATACATTTGGTGGAGTTGAAGGGGTGGCAACAGCCCTTGAAACCCACCTCGAGTATGGTATCAAAGGTGCTGGTGGTGGTGATGAAGACATCACACGTAGAACACACGTGTTTGGTTCCAACACTTACCACAAACCACCTTCCAAAGGGTTCTTCCACTTTGTGGTGGAAGCCTTTAAGGATGTCACCATTCTCATCCTTTTGGCTTGTGCTGCTCTTTCCCTTGGCTTTGGCATCAAGGAACATGGAATCAAAGAAGGTTGGTACGATGGTGGAAGCATTTTCGTTGCAGTGTTCATTGTGGTTTCCTTGTCAGCAGTGAGCAACTTCAGACAGAACAGACAGTTTGACAAGCTGTCCCAGGTGAGCAATGACATACAAATTGATGTGGTGAGAAGTGGGAGGCGTCAGCATTTGTCAATCTTTGAAATAGTTGTCGGTGATGTCATTTGCTTGAAGATTGGGGATCAAGTGCCAGCAGATGGGTTGTTCATTGAAGGGCATTCACTTAGAGTGGATGAATCAAGTATGACAGGAGAGAGTGATCATGTTGAGATCAGTAGACAGCACCCTTTTTTGTTCTCAGGCACCAAGGTGGCTGATGGGTATGCGAAGATGCTCGTTACCTCAGTTGGTATGAACACAACATGGGGCCAAATGATGAGTTCGATAAGCCGGGATAATGATGAGCAAACTCCTTTGCAAGAGAGGCTAAACAAGCTAACATCGTCCATTGGAAAGGTTGGTTTGGCTGTGGCTTTTCTTGTCCTTGTTGTTTTGCTGGTTAGGTACTTCACAGGGAATACGAAGGATGACCATGGGGTCAGAGAGTACAATGGAAGCAAGACCAAGTTTGATGACATAATGAATGCTGTTGTGGGAATTGTTGCTGATGCAGTTACCATTGTTGTTGTTGCAATCCCTGAGGGTCTTCCATTGGCTGTGACGCTCACTCTGGCTTATTCAATGAAGAAAATGATGGCTGACCAAGCAATGGTGAGAAAGCTCTCAGCATGTGAGACAATGGGTTCTGCCACCACAATTTGTACAGATAAGACTGGGACTCTCACACTCAATGAGATGAAAGTAACCAAGTTCTGGATTGGCCAAGAACCCGTGGCAGAAACTGAAAATGTCAACTCAAAGGTTGCTCCAGTTGCTCTTCAACTTATCCAAGAAGGGGTGGCTCTAAACACAACTGGTAGTGTGCACAAATCCAATAAATCAGGTTCTGAATTTGAGTTTTCAGGCAGTCCCACAGAAAAAGCCATCCTATCCTGGGCAGTTTTGGAATTGAACATGGAGACGGAGCACTTGACAAAAAGCTGTTCCATCATTCAGGTTGATACCTTCAACTCAAAGAAGAAAAAAAGCGGAGTTTTGTTGAGAAGGAAGGCAGACAACACAGTTAATGCTCACTGGAAAGGAGCAGCTGAGATGGTACTAAAGATGTGCTCAAGATACTATGATGCTTCTGGTACTGTGAAAGATCTTGACATTGATACAATGTTGAAGTTTGAACACATCATTCAAGGTATGGCAGCTAGTAGTCTTCGTTGCATTGCTTTTGCACATGTAGAAGTACCTGAGGAAGAGCTTGGAGATGAAAACACAACGGGGAAAGTGAAAGACTGTGGTTTAACATTGTTAGGGGTGGTTGGGATTAAGGATCCATGTCGTCCAGGGGTGAAGAAGGCTGTGGAAGCTTGCCAAAAGGCTGGTGTGAACGTCAAAATGATCACAGGTGACAATGTTTTCACTGCAAGGGCTATAGCAAGCGAATGTGGGATACTCCGGCCAAATCAGGACACAGCTGGAGCAGTGATTGAAGGAGAGGAATTTCGCAACTACACACCTGAAGAGAGGCTGGAGAAGGTGGAAAAAATCTGTGTGATGGCCAGATCTTCTCCTTTTGACAAACTTCTAATGGTTCAATGTCTGAAGCAGAAAGGCCATGTAGTTGCTGTTACTGGGGATGGCACAAATGACGCACCAGCACTGAAAGAAGCTGACATTGGACTCTCTATGGGAATTCAAGGTACTGAAGTGGCCAAAGAGAGCTCAGACATTGTTATTTTGGATGACAATTTTGCATCTGTGGTGACTGTCTTAAGGTGGGGAAGGTGTGTTTACAACAACATACAGAAGTTCATTCAGTTTCAGTTGACAGTGAATGTTGCAGCACTTGCTATCAACTTTGTGGCAGCAGTATCAGCAGGGGAAGTGCCACTCACAGCAGTACAATTATTATGGGTGAACTTGATCATGGACACATTAGGTGCTTTGGCACTTGCAACAGAAAAGCCCACCAATGAATTGATGGACAAACCACCAGTTGGTAGAACAAAACCTCTAATCACCAATGTCATGTGGAGGAATCTATTGGCTCAAGCTTTGTACCAGATAGCAGTTTTGCTGACTCTTCAATTCAAAGGTGAGTCTATCTTTGGTGTGACATCAGGGGTAAATGACACATTGATTTTCAACACGTTTGTTCTCTGCCAAGTGTTCAATGAGTTCAATGCAAGGAAGATGGAGAAGAGGAATGTATTCAAAGGCATACACAGGAGCAAGTTGTTTTTAGGCATCATTGCCATAACAATAATCCTTCAGGTTGTTATGGTTGAGTTTCTAAAGAAGTTTGCTGACACAGAGAGGCTAAATTGGGGGCAATGGGCTATCTGCATTGGTCTAGCTGCAGTTTCCTGGCCAATAGGTTGGGTTGTGAAGTTGATACCTGTCCCAGAGAAACCGTTTCTCAGTTTTTTGAGAATCAAGAAATGAAGACATACCCATGTATGGTGCTGTCTTGTGTGATCATTCTATTTGTATAATTCCTTTTTTTTTTTATCTTGTAGACATTGTATTAGACATTCTTTAAATTCTTTTATCATATGTATTGTAATTACATATTTCAATAATTCAATATAACAGAGATAGTTGATTTTTTAATATGGAAGAAAAGTGCTGTAACCTCTATGCACATAATTCTTGAACTGTCTTTCATTTTTTATCATTAGCCATGCAGACAGACTCCAACATTATATACACATTATGTCAACGTTAGTTTTCTTCTATTCACAAAATTTCCATGGAAAAGGAAGCAAATTAGTGAAATCCATTGAAATTATTAGTAACAGTGTTCTAAAGTTATAAATCAATGGTTCTTAGTGTAAAATCCCAATTTTTTCTTACTAAAATCTATAATTAACATAAATTACATAATTGAAATAAAACTTCATTTCTATTTTATTAAAAATCTCAATAAACAAAAACATATTTTACAATTAGATTTTATTAAAATAGAAAAATATAATATTAAAAGATACAAACATCATAAGTAGAATACATATCATACAAACACATGTTGTCACCAGTGCAAAAATTTCAATTTACTGCAACTCTTGCAAATAAAAGTCGGAGTTCACTCCCCCTCGAAGAGACTTATAGGTGAAGTTCGCCATTTGTACCATCACGCAGAGTTTATCAAAAAGCCAAGACTTCCCATTTTGTTGAAACACACACGGCACAAACATATCAACCACCGTCTGATTTCCACATAGGGTTTTCTACACAACATCAATACATCACATAAACTTTCACAAATAAAAAAAAAGTTTAAAAAGAAAAAAAAAACAATATTGTAAGCTTCCCTACCTCTTATTTTTTACTTCTTCCTTCTTTGAGTTATTCTTTCTATTAAAATTCTCTCTATAAACTTTGTCATGTCATATTTACACACCTAATATCTCTAAGAAAAATACTATATTTTATTATTATTATCTAATAATAATATCTAATTATATTCTAAAATAATTTGTAACAATATAATAATATACAAGAATATCAACTATAATATCTAACAATGTCTAATAATATTTTTTTTGAATGGATAATTATTCTCTAAATCTTATTTCTTAGAAAATCTTTTAAAATAAAATAAATTATGTAAATTATAACTAGTAAATAATTTCATCTTTTACTTAAAATATATAACTATATTTATATACTTTTCTAATTACTAAAATTTCTTGGATCACACTTAGATAAATTAATGACTAATGTTGTTGAAAACAAATTTAATAGTGATGGAAAATTACTAAAATACTCATTTACTTATTTGGCTTCTTTTAATTTCCTCAAAGGTTGTCTAGTTTAGAAAAAAGTTATCTCATGATTGATTAATAACTTCCTCATCTCATTTTCTTTGCATTTGCTTTGCATACAGTATGGTGCTTTATTCGTAATTAGGTACTTAAATATGTCATTTTATTATTATCTTTTCTATAAAATAGTCACCATGAACAGGGCTAATTGAGCATCAGAATCGGCAAGAAACAAAGACAGTTGACAATACAAAAGTGTAGCAATGAAAATGGATAAAACAATGAAATTGAAGTTCACCACATTGCAATTATGTAAGCTTTTGTTTAGCAGACAGTGCTGAGCAGAAAACATTACATTTATTCATTGATGAATTTTTGAAACGCATTAATCTAAACCCTTGACTGTTTGGCAATCTTGAACCACTCAGTGTGGAAAGATCCCTCCATGTCTATCCTCTCATATGTATGAGCACCAAAGTAGTCTCTCTGAGCCTGAACCAAATTTGCTGGTACACTTTCCCTTCTATATGTGTCAAAATAAGCAAGACTAGCAGCCATGCCTGGGGTGCTAATGCCATAGTTGACAGCTAGACACACCACTCTTCTCCATCCAGATTGTCTATCAACTATTTCCTTGGCAAATTCTGGATCCACAAGAAGATTTGCAAGTTTAGGATTTCTATCATATGCTTTCTTGATTCTGTCCAAAAATATGGCTCTTATGATGCAACCACCCTTCCAAATCCTTGCAAGTTCCCCCAACTTCAAGTCCCAACCCTTCTCAATGCTCTTTGCCCTTATCAGATTCATTCCCTGTGCATAACTACAGATTTTTGCAGCATAAAGAGCCTTCCTAACATCATCAACGAGCTTCTTCTTGTCAACAGGTTGGTGTTGGTGTTGGTCATTCAAGATGCTATCTAAGCCACTTGACTTGAACACCTTTGCAGCTTCAACTCTCTCCTCTTTCAATCCACTGAGGAACCTTGCATCCAAAGAAGCCTCTATTGTGGGAGCAGCAATGGATAGCTCAGCAGCTTGTTGCACAGTCCATTTGCCAGTACCCTTCATGCCAGTTTTGTCCAGAACCTTGTCAACCAAATACCCTTCTCTTTTGTCATCCTTGATTCCAAATATGTCTGCTGTGATCTCAATGAGGAAACTCAGGAGTTCCCCTTTGTTCCACTCTGAGAACACACTTTGTAGCTCCTCATTTGACAGCTTCCCAATTGTCTTCAGCACATCATAAGCCTCAGCAATGAGTTGCATGTCACCATACTCGATTCCTTTGTGGACCATTTTCACAAAATTTCCTGATCCACCTTGGCCAATGTAAGTCACACAAGGACCACTATCAGGCACTTGAGCAGCCACCTTGAGCAGAATGTCTTCTATGTTTTTATAAGCCTCAAATGAACCACCGGGCATCAAAGAGGGACCATGTCTTGCACCCTCCTCACCACCTGAAACTCCCATTCCAAGGTAGAGTAGACCCAATTCAGACATAGCTTTCTCTCTTCTCTCAGTGTTCTCATACCACTCGTTGCCACCATCAATGATACAATCACCCTTTTCCAAGTATGCTGAGAGGGTCTTGATGGTTTGGTCCACTGGTGCCCCTGCCTTAACAAGCATGATTATGACCCTTGGTTTTTGAATGGATTGGACAAAGGACTTAGGTTCATGGTAACCATACACAGGAAGTTTTCCTTCTTTTTCTGCTCTTTCTACTGTTTCATCAACCTTGGATGTGGTCCTGTTGTAAACAGAGATGGGAAAACCCTTCTCAGCTATGTTGAGAGCAAGGTTTTGGCCCATCACAGCCAGACCAGCTAGGCCTATTCTCGTGAGGTTTGTAGGTTGAGCCATAACTAATTTCCTGTTCAATGTTGGAAATTTCATATCAGATAAAAGGTATAAAGGTAAATAATAAGCACAAAACATGAACTTCTAATTTGTTAAGAAAAACAGAAGGTGTAGATTGCAATCAAAGAGGACAATTAGAACTTGATTCGAGGCATCTATAAACTCTAAAGTGTACACTGGGGTAAAAAGGTATCAATGGTTGATTACAGTACTTTTGCCGTAGAAATTGAGATTCCCAAAGAGTACCCAAACTTCAAGAATAAGATTCAGAGTTCCATTTCAGCATTCAATCATCCAAAAGAAGATATATTAACCACAAGTGCCAAAGAAGTATACAGTTTTCAAGAATTGCACAGATCAAGCAAGAGCCATGGCTTGAAAGAAAGCACTCAATGTTAAAATAAAACCATCCAATATGCAGATTGCAATCAGAGTCATCTTCTCACCAACATTTCCATTCATTTGTTTCCTTTTTCACTTTCATATTACTACAAGTAAAATCTAACAATCACTGAAACTAAGAAATTATACTACAGATACCATTGTCCAACAAAACCGATCGCATCATCAAAGCCATTAACTTAACAAGAATCATGACCATCATGTTGATTTCTCGCAAACCCATAACAAAATAAAGAATGCAAATACAGTTTCTGAGCAAATAGAACATGTTCAATGATCACAAACACCACCAATCCAACTACACTAATTTAGCACTGCATAAAGGGAAGGCAAAAGCAGAGACTAGTGTCAAAGTAAACCTGGGTTTTGAATGGAAGAGCTGAAGAAAACTGAGATCTGGGTATCCCAGAGAGTATTCTATGCATAAAATGAGGACGTACAAACAATGATAGTTATATACTCAAGTACATTATGGAGAAAGTTGAAATTGCAAGCATATGTTCAACAACCACCAACTCTTTCAGAGAAGGAAACCCAACACTTTATTATGATGTAAACGTGTGAAATTTATCCAACTAACAAGTTCAGTAGGTGGAGAGGCTCCAAGGAATCAATGCCATTGATTCCACTGTGAAAGCTCACGTGTGATGTTGCACCTCTTCCTTTTTTTTTTTCCTTAATCGTCCACGGGCTGCAAAAGGAAGATTCATTGGAGACTAAACAATGCATTAACATTTAATATATATTTAAAGAGAAATAAAAATGATATATTTATAGCTCATGTGATATGATTAGAAGAGAGGTATAAAACAAGAATGTTAATATACTATTTTGATCTCAATTTTTTGTTAGAAATTATTCAACCTGATTTCGTTTTTTTCATTAAGTTTCAATTTTTGTTGAAATGATTTAATTAGGTTATTTTAACTCAATTTGTTAGTATTTTTATTTATTTTTACTTTTTAAATTTCTTTTCTTTAAGTTTATTTTTTTCAAATATGAGTTTCTTGTTGTATTATGTTTATATCATGTCATATGACAGTATTAATACCATCACTGTTACATGTTATTATCACTTTTAGATATTGTTATCTTATATTAAATTAAATTCATATATTAAAATTTTTATTCAATTCAATTTTAATTATTTTAAAACGAAGTGATGTTGTCTATTTCTAAATTAGAATAAAATTTATTTTTTTTATAAATGTTATTACTTTAATATGTTTAATAATTTATATATTTTAATATTTAATGATTTTATTTATAATTTTTTATTTAATGTTTAATTTATGATCATAATATTATTAGTATATATAAATATTTAAAATTTATTTAGGTCTATAAAATATTTAATTATACTCTTCTTTCCTTACTTTTACAATTTAAATTAATAATTTTTCCTTCTTAAAGGTTGACTCTTTTTAAAAGAAGTGTTATTTTTAAAGTTTTAAGATAACATTTTTTAATTATAACATTAATTAATATGGAAAGAAATAAAAATAGTTATATGTATCATTACATAAAGGAAATACAACCATATTAATTAGAAAATTTTATTTTTGATGAATAAAAATAATTTGCCTATTTAGTAAAATACAATACATAACTTCATCGGTTAAAAAAACCATCACATATTTTTGCATAGATATTTTATTGAAGTTATATTATTTTGATGTTACAAAAGTGTAAACACTTGTAATTTATTTTTACAATAAAAAAAAGTATAATATAATAAAAAGACTGATGCTACACAAATACTTATCCATCCACAAACCCACACCTGACCCTAACACACGGACACATCCATCTACACAAATATATTATAACCCAAACTTACCTAATTCAATATCAAAATTAGTATTGTCAAGCGGACCACTCGACCAGCTCAGAATGGGTTGATCATTGAGTCAATGACTCATCTATTAGGCTTTGTTCTTTTGAGTGGATTTGAGGAGATTTGAGAGTATTTGAAGATAAATTTTTTTGTCGTTTATTTAAGTGAATTTGAAGATAAATGAGAGTGAATTTAGAAATAAATTTTTTAATTTGTCACGTCAATACAATTCTATACTAATTCTCATAAATTTTATAATAATTTAAAGATAAAAAATATATTTAATCCATGGAAAATCCAAATAACAATTTTGAATAAATATCTTGTGGATGTTTCTAATAATAAAATTAAAATTTCTCTAAAAATAATAAATATTTCATATTCTATTTTTTAAATCTATAAATCCGTACACTTTCTAATAAACTGATTTACCATTTGTGAGATCCCGGTAAATTAGAAGCGTAATTAGGTGTCAAATCAGTANAAATAATAACCCTAAAAATAAAATTTTACTTAGGGGCAAAATAGTAAATGGGAGGTGGAGGGAGAAAGGTGTGGTGGTGGAGGGAGCAACACCCTAAAAAGACTGATGCTACACAAATACTTATCCATCCACAAACCCACACCTGACCTCAACACACGGACACATCCATCTACACAAATATACTATAACCCAAACTTACTTGATTCAATATCAAAATTAATATGGTCAAGCGGACCACTCGACCAGCTTAGAATGGGTTGACCATTGAGTCAATGACTCATCTATAAGTGAGGCAAAAAAATTTAAATTCAAATCAATCTATCACGGATTAAATAAAAAAAATTATAATTTTTTTATTCAAATTTAAATAATTTCACTTTAAAATAATGTTAAACTTCAAAGACAATTCAAAATAAAAAAATTAACATAGAACTCAAATGTAATCCAAAAGCAAACCTAAAAAGTGAATAAATAAATTTATAATATTGATAATTTTGTGTTACTTATCCATTTAAAAGATTAGAGTTTTGAATGGATAAATTTATAATATTTTTCTATCTTGAAACATTTTTTTTATTCTCACTTGTAGTACAATAAAAAAATGTTAACTAATAATATTGAAACACAAAATAATAAATACTTAAATTAAATTAGGTGGGTTGATGAGTCAACCCGGCTGACCACGGGTTCAACTCGGATGAGCCAAATTCTAAGAGTCGGGTTGAAAATTGGCCCGTATAAAAAAAAATTTCTTTTTTTTAAACCAAACTCGTCTGAATCCATGGTGAGTCGAGTTTGCTTGCGAGTTCTAACTCATTTTGACAACACTAATCAAAACGGTCTTATTCCTAGTTTTTCATTAGTGATATTGATAACACACTAAACAAAGACGAGAATGAGTGATAATTCATATGGTTGATTGCTACAAGTTATTTTGATAAGATCAAAATTGAGTTCATATAACTTGAAATCCATAAAACTCAATTTTATGACANAGAGAAGTGTAACTGAGAATGAAAATGTGATGTTGGGGAAATTATAAAATGGATGAATCATATATGAGGTGAAGTTATGATATTGAAAATTGAACGAGCGTTCCAAGGAGGAACGACTCTGAATATTATTGGATATTAAATTTGGTAAAGTATGACTGTGGATAAGTTAAGACTCGCTGTCCATCCTGATGTTCCGTGATACGCCTCTTCAAGTAGAATGGGGTATTCATGTGTGGGAACGGCAGGAGGTCCTTAGTCCATAAGTTAACATGGGCGACGTAAGAACGGACTTACCTCGAGTGGCAGCTGTTTGGTGTATCCCAGTTACTACATCACTCGGGTGCAAGGACGCTTGTAACTACACAGATTCATACAGTCCGGACGGTCTGTCTAGCATTAGTATATTTATGCTTTGATTGATGTTATATGTATATGTGCTGATTTCGTGATGGTTTGAATATAAATGTTGAAGTATGAATTTAAATTACGTAAGCTTACCCTTTCGTTTTTCCTTGTGTTGTCTTATGGTCTATGTACGTTCGTCTTGTCCTTGCAATGATCATCCATGTGTATGTGAGCAGATGGTGGAGCGTCCCTTGAAGTAATGCTGGAAGAAGAAAATTTGGAGGACGCAACACTGGTGGATGTTGAAGTAAAAGCCGAGCTTTAGAGCGCTCGCTCGTAGATTAGTTTTGTTATTGTATTTTTGCGGACGTTCGGTTATAGTCCTGTAATGCCGTTCGTCCTTAAACTCTTGTTTATTGTAGCGATCGTTATTTTCTGTATGTTTATGCCGTTCGACACTTAGCGCTCGTTCGGTTTAAGTTAAGACTGCACTGTTTATTATCTTAATGTAATTAATTCTGATTATGGTAATTACTATTTTATGGGATGTTACACCATTCTTGCAATATTTACAACAAAATGTTAAGAACAATTTTTTTAATATAGAATTAAATGTTAACGTAATGAAAAAAAAATCTTTTACAACTGGTGTTAAAAAATATCTCATTGTAGTGAGAGAGGAGCCGTGACTTTCCTAAAGAAATTTAACATAAAAACAAAACTTTCTAAAAATAACTAATATTTTAAATATTTTACAAATTTCAAAACGAAACAATAATAAAACCATTTTATATAAAAAGTATAATAAAAAAATTATACAGAAGTTAATTAAAATAATGTAGTATTGTAAACTATTATCACTAGGCTATTTGACTTACTCACACCCTTTATCTAGCAAGTGCAAGAATAAAAAATCACACACAAAAAGATATATATATATATATATATATATATATATATATATATATATATATAGAGAGAGAGAGAGAGAGAGAGAGAGAGAGAGAGAGAGAGAAGTGAATGAATTTCAAAGTTGATACTTATTGATGTCTTTACATATTGTATTAAAGATCTATATTATCTATCACTAAATAACCACTTTCAACTCAACATTATTTCTTGTGTTATACACAATACTACATAAAATTTCAACTTGGCTTTATTTTTCTCTTGACATTGTAAAGTATGACTATTCACATTTCTCTTTTACATTATTGCACCAACCAAGCTATTCCTTGAAAATGACAGGAAACACATAACAGGGAAACAGCTAGGGCACAAAAAAAGCAAGAAATATATATATCCCAGGCCCACCCTATGCACGTTTACAATGCAATTTTTCTTTTGTTGCACAACTAAATAAATCTAGCTAGAACAATTGACAATTGAGTTATGACATTTTTTTTTATTAAAACCAAGAAAAGAAAGAAGAAACAATGAGAGTAATACGAAGAAAAAACAAGTAAAAGGGCTTGTGTCTTGGAAAGAGAGTAAAAAACAAGTATTTTTAAGGTACTCTCGTTAAAGTTTTTTTTTTTCTTTAAAAAAATGCTATTGATCCACTTTATTAGTAGTTTCTAGTGATCATAATTTTAAAAGGAAAAAGAGTTTTATTTTTGTGGTTTTCTTTAACCAGTATCCTTATAATAGAGTTGTTTACACAATTGGAAGGAAGAAATAAGGAAACTCTGAAAAAAAAAGGATTAAGATTTAATGTGTGTTTGGAATGGCGTTAACAAGATTTAATGTTAACGCAAAGAGAGCTACTTAAGCCGATTTTCTTTATGTGTTGTGAGGTGGATCTAATATGACTTTCTTAAACTTGGAAATCAAGGGAAGGGAAATAGGACATGTCTTGCATCAAACCCTCAAAGTCCCATTCTCCCATTCTAAAGTTTTCCCCTTGCCCATGATTTCCAAAACCAAACAAATCCTCTACAACTACGTTGTTGGAGGTTTGAAAATTATGATGATGATGATGGTGATGGTGATGATCAGTGTTACTGAAGCAACTGTTCTTCAAGTGGTTGTTGTTATGGCTTTTCACATCAATTGGGTTACTAGAATTCTCCTCAATGCTTCTACTTTCTAGTGGAGGAAGGGAAAAGTCGCTTTCTAACCCCATTTTATTAGGTTCCAATGCCCCATAACCTCCATGAACAACCCCATCATCATGATCTACCATACTAACTTGGTTTAAGCATGCAGCCATGTTGTCAAGGAAACCGGCTGCACCGGTGGTCATGTCATAGCGGTTGGACAACAAAGGAAAGGGGTCAAATTGGTCTGTTAGTGCCATGTTGGCTTGCATGGATTGCATGGATGATGATGATGTTGATGATGAGGAGTCCATGCACATGGTCATGAGGTCATGCTGATCATTCATTGGCATTATCCCCCCCATGACATCTCTAGGGTCTGATGAGTCACTGTTGTTTGGTGATGAAGTGTTGTTGATGTTGCTGCTGCTCATTTTCAACCTTTTCTTCAGTGTTGAGTTCCAGAAATTCTTTATTTCATTGTCTGTGCGACCAGGAAGCCGTGCAGCAATCTGAGACCATCTGAGATTCACAACTTCAAAATGGTTAAAACAGGAACACTTGTACAAATTTCTGAATACTATGTGTAGCTTCTGTTACATGGATACATAGTGTCTTGTACCAATATAAACTAAATATATATAATAACGGGTTAATTAGTCACAAAGTATTGAAGTAATCATAAGATTAATGAAATAAAGAGTGATGTATACGTCATCTCGTGAGCGTCAATAATTATAGCACATAAAAGTTGTGTTGAAAAAGTATTGTTGAGATGTTATA